GTTTTTCTTTAAAATAATACATAAATGTTAATGTTATTAATAATTTAATTTAAAAATAAAAAATTAATATTTTTTGAGTTGTTTGTGAACTTTTCGCTTCAGGTATTAAGTAACTCGCTTTAACTCATTAAAAACTCGAATTAAATCCGTTCAATTCAAGTATTAACCAAATTGAACTCGAATAACTCAAGTCTGTCTCGTCTCATTTAAAGCATTAAGGATGATATAATAATATTCATCACGAAGGTAGAAACAAAATTATTAGGTTTATATGAAGAAAATATTAAGTTAAATATGGTACATTTTGATAATATTTTAAAGAGAAAATAACTTGAGTGACCCAAAATGCCTTATAATATACTATTTTAACCATTTTTTTGGATTTACAAAAATAATCAACGAATTCGTAACACGAAAACCAATTTCGCAACACAATTTCCGAATTCGCAACACAAATTTGCCAAATTCGAGTCGCGAATTCGCTAAATTCGAGTTGTGAATTCGAAATTCGAGTTGCAAATTCGATTTTCGAGTTGCAAATTTGAGTTTCGAGTTGAGAATTTGAATTTCGAGTTGCGAATTCGATTTTCAAGTTGCGAATTTGAATTTCGAGTTGCGAATTCGATTTTTAAGTTGCGAAATCAATATTCAAGTTACGAATTCGAAAATTGAGTTGCAAAATTGGCGAATTCGAGTTGTGAAATCCGAATTCGAGTTGCGAATTTAAAAACTGAGTTGCAAATTTGGTAAATTCGTGTTGCGAAATGTAAATTTTTGTTGTGAATTCGAAAACTGTGTTGGGAATTTGGTTTTCGTGTTGCGAATTCGAAATTGAGTTGCGAATTCGTTGGTTATTATTACAAGCCCAAAAAAAGTTGGTTAAAATCATATATTATAAGGCATTTCCGGCCACTCAAGTTATTTTCTCTATTTTAAAATTTTAGTTTTCATATTTTTTAATTTTACGATATTAAATCCCCAAATACATAAAATAGGAAAATGGTTGTAGAAAATTCTATTTATTGCTGCACGGTTGCACCTAATTGCATTGTTGTTGCTGCAGATTTATTTCAAATGCCAGTTTCTGAGTAATTGGGTCCTGTTTTCTTTTATAGATGAATTTGGTTTTCTACTTGTGTATGGAAATGAATGTCAAAAAAGTTAGGTTTGTAGTCATGAAGTGTGTGTATATTTATGCTTGTGAATGAAGAATTTTTATTCTTTTGTCTAAATCAAGGAAAAAAATTTCCTCGAGGACCATTTTTTCTTTGATACATTAATACTTGTTTTGTCTCTTTTTTTCTGTTCTTGGAAGACTTTTCCATGAAAGAAATCTAACAAATTGCCCAACTCTTCTTCAAGGCAAAGGTGTACCTATTTTTATTAAATGACAATTAATCCCCAACGTTTGCATAAACAGTCATTTTACTCTTTATTATTTTTTTGGAGCATTTTAATCCCTAACATTTTAGTTTTTGTCAAAACAATCCATATTGGAAGGAAACAAATAGTTGGCTAACAACCAACACATATTGTTGACATAACATTTTTATATGTGTTTAATAAATTATGTGACATGTGTCATATCACCTAAAGTGATGATGTGACATATGTTATGTCACCCAAAGTGATAACATATGTCATGATATAATTAAACACGTAAAAATATCACGTCAGTAACGTGTGTTGATCATTAGTCAACTAATGGTTTCGATATAACACAACTTATTTTGATCAAAAATTGAAACATTGAACAGCTAAAATGCTCTAAAATAAAAAAAATGGCAAAAATGATAATTTCTGCAAATATTAGGGACTAATGTTGTCATTATACCTTTGATTAAATGGTGTAACATATACTATATCTTGGAAGTTAAAATCAAACCAATAATTTCTATTACTTGTACTTTTCTTCAAAAAGTGGAAAAGCGAGCTGATGAATCAGTGAAAAGCGAAAAGGGAAAAGGGTTTGGGTTAGGTTTCTTTTAACAAAACATGAAAAGGTATCCCCCACCTTATACTGTATTAGCAGGCAAGAGAATAAGAAGTGTTGCACTCATTCGAAAGGATTTCATATCTCAACCATAAATTTCCTTTCCTATTGAATTTTATTACATAAATACATACACCAATATTATGTAGGAATTGTTGCTTTCATCTTACAAGGGTCTCATGCCAGTAAATTTTTCACCTGCAATCTCCTTCCCTACTTGTTATATATAGCTAAAAGTTTAATCTAGCAACTACACTTTGGATTTCATCAAATGATGCAAGGAGGAAGAGTTAACTTTATCAACTAATTTATGAGAATAATATTCATTTAAAAATTAATTACAATAATAATTTTGGAAAAATCTATTTAAAGAAATAATATTTTTGTAGACGTAGGTTAAAGTGTGTCGGAGCTCTTGATTTTGATTGACGATGAAAAAGATGTGAATTCTTTTTCTTGAAAATGTTTGAGAACTACGTATATCATTAGCCTAAAAAAATATTAGCAATATATTTTATATTTTTTTATGCATCAAGATCCACAATAAATGTCAAAGTATAAAATATACACCAGGAAATTAATCGAAATAAGTAATTTATTTTATGATAAAAATGTACTAATATTATATAATTGAAATAATAAAAAACTTATAAACACCGAAAAATATACTTTCTATGAATCTAATCCTCGCCACTTTCTTCCTCACTACAAAGAAAAGTAAAAAAAATTATACTTTCCACAACAACATCGATTCTAATTCGTTAAAATTGAACAAAATCAGCAGACGATTATTATGCTTTCCACTATAAATCCCCTGGCCCTCAACAGGCTTAAACGGGGAATGGAACCTCCATAATCTCCATACAGCCTTTATTTTCATCTTGATGACCATCTCTCTCTCACACAAAAAAACATCAGCCAACGTCATTCTCTCGCCGGTTGCGGTGTTATGCCGAAATCTGAAGGGTAAACTACCAATGAATATCGAGATAAACTTGTTCCATTGACACTGTTAAAATCACCAAATCAAAAAAAAAAACCCTAATAAAATGGAGCTTTTAATCATTTTAAACATCTACTTTCTAGTCATCTATAATACTAAACTAATCTGACAAGTTGTGGTGGGGAAGCAGGCGATTAATCAGCCGGTTCATGACACCAATGGAATCCAATTTCTGGAACAGAGAAAGGGTCCAAACAGGAACAAGAAACAATCACAAGAAACAAACAAAACAAAACCACATAATTTAATCATATCAAAGTTGGTTTATGGATTTATCAGCATGATTCTTTCTTCACAACCTTTAATTTAATTTATTGAAAGAGCTTCCCTATGCCAAACATTTTTTTTTAAATTCCATGATGGACAGTGATGCTGCTAGGTCGGATGTCTTTATCCTCAAAAATATGATGCAAAAAAAAAAAAAAGATGTAATAATTCTTTGAAAGATTCGCTGTGGGGTTTTAAGCAATTAAAAACATCGTCAACTCCCCCAAGCAAACCAAGAAAAAAATATTAGTGTTTTCTGGTAACCTAGGCTTCTTGTTTTCTTAATTATTAAGATAAACGTAAAAAAATGAGAATTTAAATCGTGGAAAGGATTAAACCTATTTAATAATTACAACATACCTCTCCATCTCTGTTTTTGGTACAAAAATAAATTGTCACAAATAACGAGCTATTTCTCTGTGTCATTTAGCAAAACCTAATGCTATTAAAAAAACTTAATTAAAGCTAAGTATGTAATGCGAGTCGGTCCGAATAATTAATGTGAGATCTTGAAATCAGGAAGGCAACAAAAAAAAAAAAACTTAAATCATCATTCTATTAGATTAATTATTAATTGATAAACATATAATTTAAACCTATAGCACCGATTTAATTTAAAATGATAAAATATTTTTAATTTTAACACGGTATATCTATATCATTGGTAAAGTGTTTGATAAAGTGGATACTTCAAATTAACTAGATACCAACTCAATATATATATATATATATATATATATATATATATATATATATATACACACTATTTTGACCCATACATATAATGAAATATATAAATACTATTTAACATACATTTTAAATACTTTTATTAACCATATTTAAAATTTGTGACTATTTTCATTTATAAAAAGAAAAATTACACGTTTCATATCCAATTTTTCTCTCTATACACTATATAAAAAACGTAAGACTAAACATATTTAAATGTCTAATAGACTAATATTCTTATAAGGATAGCTAATTTTCTTTTCCTATTTAAAAAAATAAAAGAAACTATATATATAATGCCAAAATCATAGTGGGAGTATAGGTTATATTGAGGGACCAGCTAGAATCAAATGTCGAAGGGAATACAATTTTTTTATAACAAAATAATAAGAATTTATTGACTATTTAAATATAAAAATCGGGAGAGAAAAAGATCTTATTTGACCAGTATTTAAATTAAAAAAGACCTAAAATGTCATTCTAAAATTTAAGACTCTAGACATGGGGACAAGACAAGAATATGCTACTTTAAGAAACATTTTTTTCTTCTTTCTAAACGAAAAAGTCTTTGTTTAGGTAGGAAGAAATTGATGGTTTTGATGAAGAAAATGATACCTACAGTTGTCCCACAATGTTAATCAACATTATACTTGAATTAACATTTAACATTCAGGAAACTTAAGCCCTTATCAGCAAAGGTCAGACAATTAATTTATTCACCAAAATAAAGAGAAAAAGGGTTTTAGATTTTTTTTTAAAGAGGAAGACATCTGTCAATAGAGAATTCATTATTCGTGGAAATAATGGAGAAATAAAATGAGTGAATAATGGTCACATGATTGTGCAACAGTGCATCTGTATCTCATAATATTCCAAACCATCGTTGATGATTCTCTCTCTCTCTTTTTTTTTGGATTTAAATTTCAAGGTTCAATGAAAAACAAATTACATATAATCGTCAGATCACATTGAAAAACCTTTACCCATCCTATTTTTCTTATTCTTTCTCTCTCTTGATCATCAGTTTAAAAGAAAGACCAAGTTGAAGCCTCTCTCTATGTATACATAGTTCTCTGCAATTTTGATGATCAACAGCATGGAAGGATGAATATAGGCTTCAGGAATCTCTAGTGTCAATGGTTTGTATCTTTAAGTACAAAGAAAAAGAAAAGAAAACCCTTGATTTCTCTGTTTTAATTGATTTCTTATTTTTCTATGTACTGATTGCTTTGTGTTCTTTCCCTGCAAATCATGAAGTTGATATATAAAAGTGATTTTTGACAAGTATTCTGGAAAATAACTGAAAGGGTTTTCAGAAATTAACCTATACTTTACATTGATAAAGAATTCTATATAGTTCATATTTATATAAAAATGAAAAACATAGTTTTCTTCTTCTTCTTCTTTTTGCTTTAATTTTATTCATACACGATAAGTATTAGATCGGATCCAAACTCCATTGATGCTATGTATTTTTCCTTACCTACACAACGTATAATTAATGTGACTGGAAACATTGGATGTTGGTTTCACTGTCTCACTAGACCAACTTGAGACTAATAGGCAAGTATGCCATTTTTCTTTCCTCTCATGCATTAATTTTGCTTTATTGTAACTGAGGGAACTTGTTTTTTTTAATAGTGGGTGAATCGGTAATTATAAAGTATTATATGTTTAAAACCTTTTTAATTAATTGATAACATGTGCACACTATATAGATTCAACTGTTCGAACTCAGGATCTTAGGAGAAATAATATTCTCTTTTATTATTGAGACCATTTGATGAGTTCAATAGAGAGAACTTGTTGAATGTTCTGATTTGCCAAAGTTTTTGCAGAGGAAAAAAAAAGAAAAACATGTCTTTTATTTGAAACTACTTCCATTTACAAAGGTGGATGATGATGTTTATGCTAATGGTTAATGTTTCCCTGACAAGTGAAAATGGTTGCAGTTAAACCTATTACCTAAAATATGTCCTTTTACACTCATAGGGTCGAATATGGAGGGAGCAGTTGAGACCTTTTAAACCCACAACAAATGTTGGGGATCCCTAATTATTGCTTTTAAAACCATTTCAATGTCTTGTAGGGTTATTGTCTTAACTTTTCATTAATTTAAGACAAAAACCGCAATGTAAAACTAACATTAGTGTCCAGAAGACAACTAAATCAAACATCTCTACGGTAAGAATTTTCTTTGGAAAAATGTACTTTATGGGAGTATGTTTGATGAAAATGCTGACGAATCTTTTAATATTTGGTTTCAGTTTTAACTTCTTTTACAGCCATTGTTGTTTGTTTACTAATGGGGAAACTTATTTCGTAAAACTAATTTTATTGCATCTTACAACTTTTACATTAATGTTGGAATTGATAGGTTAATATAGTAAATATTTATATTATTCATTTCTCTTAGAATAGAGATGGAAGATGAAGAAAAGAGGGTCGAGTGCAGTGATCAACAAGCTCAAAATGTATCTGCTGCGATGGCCATTTCTTCTCAGAAATGTTCTTCCTTTGACTTGAATGAAGAAGCTAGCAGCGAAGAGGATTATTATTACGACATTAATGGCAAAGAAGGCGTGGATGATGAGATCGAGAAGAGGACAGAAGGGAGTTCCGGTAATGCTAGAAGAACGGTACGGCAATATGTTAGGTCGAAATTGCCACGGCTTCGATGGACTCCGGATCTCCATCGCTCTTTCGTGCACGCCGTTGAAAGGCTTGGCGGACAAGAGAGTAAGTTCAAATGATCCGTTCATACCACGTAAAACTTTTTAGTTTTATAATTTTAAAATTGTAAGATGAATAAAAATAACCGGTTGAAGTTAAGAGTGTAATTAATTTTTAAATCATATATATGTGTTTTTCTAAATTAAATTTCTTATGATTTTGAGGGGTTTTAGGGTTTATTTACTATATTTTTTTTTGGTTGCAGGAGCAACTCCAAAGTTAGTTCTTCAATTGATGAATGTGAAGGGACTTAGTATTGCCCATGTAAAAAGCCACTTGCAGGTAAAAAGAACACAACATTTTTTTATTTGATATTTCAAATGGTTAATTATAAGCTTTTCGATCCATTAATTATTTCACCAAAGTTTTAGTATTCTTGTGTTCAGATGTATCGAAGTAAGAAACTTGATGAAGTTGGACAAGGTGAAGTTCTTTTCCCTTATGTGATTTATTGCAATCATTTGATCTTATAAATAAATTATTATTTCATTTCCACTAGAAATCTTATAAATTGATAATTTGGGTGATAGGTCGTTTAAATTTATTAAATAATGTATAAGGTGGGTTTAATCGAGTGATTAGGTTAAATTTTAAGAATATTTTATAATAAATATTTAAAATAAAATCTGTTTATAACTAGGTTAAGTAGATTAGCCTTTAACTCACTTTACCCATAGATTGACCAACTTTATGTTAAATTGACGCCTACTATCGTATTCGTTGGACCCGATTCCATCCATTCAATCTAATTAATTTCATTCAATTGATCAATGTTCATTCTAGGGTAAAGAATTTACCGTGAGGTAAAAATAAAATTTACTATAAAAAAAGTTAGATGATTATGAGAAAAATTAGACTAACATCAATATTTATAGTAATTATTGAAAATTCTAACGTAGTTCTTGAAAAGTTATTTTTTTCAATAATTATATAATTATAAGAGTTGTGAGCTCAACACGCATTAGGAATAAAAATTTCTCTCCCACAAATTGTGGATTCAATATTCATTATGAATAATTTTTATTCTTTCCCTAGATAAAAATTGTTCAAAAAAAAAATTATCGATGAAATCTTTTAAATTTTCATTTTTTTTGCTTAGCAATAATTTTATTTTATTACTTAGAATGAAGAAAAGTATCGTACCCCAAAATATGAGTCTCATTAAAAATCCCCTAAACTTAACTGGGGAAAAGAGTACTCCACATTTGAGGGAAAACAACAAAGAAAACACCTCAGCTAAATTCAATGTCTCCGTACATCAAACTGGGAAGGGATCCCCAATACAATCCATCTCCCAAAATCTAACCGATTTAGTTCTTATACCAGACATAGAATTAAAAAGGTACAATTCCATACGAGCCTCTCACCAGCATGCTTGGAACATAAGTTGGCCAAGTAATCTGCCATTCCATTTACTAACCTTGGCGTAAAAACATACTTAACCTCCCTAATCTTCAAGGCATTTTCATCAATCTGTTGAAAGGAAGAACCCCACCTCCAAAGTCGAACTAAACAATTTTGAACCCAATTCAACACTACTGTAGAATCCGATTCCACAATCAGTTCAACCTTGCCGCACCATGTGGATTCGCTAAACAACACCAAAGCATTTTTTATTGCTGTCAATTCTGCAAAGTCAGAATTAACCTCTGCAACCGGTCCAAAGAACATCGCTACTACATATCCCACGGTTGTCAATTCATTTTTTGCTTCGAATCTTCACTATTCTATGAAAAAATGAAGTATTTTCATCTCCAAGTTTCAGCCAATTCATTCTTGATTTTTGACGCCAAATGTCCTCCTTTTGTCTCAAACAATCGCACGATTTCCTTGTGCAGCAAACTACCTCCTCCCTTTCACCAAACGTCCAGGATAGAGAAATCTCTTTTTTTTGTCTAAGTCATTAATCCTCTGCTCTAATTTTTTAACTTCATTATCGACATTCCAAAAGCAATCCTTATTCCATTTTTGCAATGCTCCTTTCACCCTTTTTAACTTCACACTTAAATCTTCCTCACAAGAGTAATCCAGTTGTAAAGTCTCCTGTATCACCTTCAAGCAACTATCCTTTTTTAACCAACTGTTAATAAACTTGAAAGGTCTTGGTCCCCAATCAATTATCACCTTACCCAACAGAATCGGTATATGATCATAAACTGATCTCGGTAGCCCCCATATAATTCTGTCACTATTTCCCTAAAACCATTCTTCCTCAACAAAAATTCTATCTAGGCGGCTTCTTCGATTTTCCGGTCCGAGCCATGTAAATTTCCTCCCCGCTAAAGGCATATCAAACAGATTACACTCTTCAATGAACTTGATGAAAGCTGCAATCTCAGCTTGTCTATAAGAGCATCCACTACTCTCACTGTGATTCGTATGGCGTAAAAATCACCAGCCATGAACCATTTGTAGCTGAACTTCCCTCTTTCTACTATAATCTCATTCCAGAGTGTACCTTGATCAGAAGTAGCACAGGGAGCGTAAACATTCAACATTGAACAAATCAAAACCTCTGAAGCATACCTCCCTATTAATAGAATAAATATGTCCTTTATTATACTATCTACAATATGAAAACGACTCTTATCCCACACAGACAACAAACCCCCAACATTACCCACCGCTTTCGAAAATTTGAAATCAAAATCATCATCACACCAAAACCGTGCTATATCCGACTCATCAAAAATCTCTTTTTTAGTTTCTTGAATCAACACAATCTCACTTATGCAACCTAACTAACCTCCTCAATTCTGAAATTTTAACAATTGAACCCATCCCTCGTATATTCCAAGATAAGATCCTTATCTCCAAACCTACTTCCGCTGAACTCTACTAAAATTCAATAGAAAGGGAATTTGACTCACCTTCTAATTCTTCCGCTGCTACAATCTCCTGAATCAAATCTTCTTTTGAACCTTTAAAAGTTATGCCCAATTCTTTCCCCACCTGAAGCATTTCTCTGGCTTCCTTCCTTTGTCTCTGTCACCTTGCACGTAAGTCAGAATCGGAGTTAATTTTAGTGACTTTGTTAATATTTTTTTTAGCTTCAAAAATATTAAATGTCTAACAACTGATGTAAAAGTTCTAACATTAGTTGTAATTACCAGAAAATGTCTCGGAGTTTGTTAAATATGAAATCTCTCGAACTTTCACAACCTTTTCTTATAACCACGATAAATGTTGTAACTTCTGATTGAGCTCATTAAAATTTAGCAAAACTATAAAAAACATTGTATGTCATCCAATAAATAATATAAAAATATCAACATTAGTTGTAACTACTGAAAAATTGTACAAATTTGAAAGAACTCATTTTTCTTTTAGTATATATGATAATATTTAAAAAAAAAATCAAAATTTTTATAACCCCTTTAACATATCTCATAGCTACAACAAGTGTTGTATGTTATCCAGTTAATGACGTAAAATCATCAACATGAGTTGAAGTTATTGAAAAAGTTATGAAAACTTATAAGATTTAATCTTTGACAAATTTCGTCAACATATCTCGTAAATATGACATTTGTTAAATATATTTGAACTTTCTAAATGAATTTCGTAATTATTGATGTTAATGTACGTTTCATAAAATATTTTTAACTTTTGTTGATTATGGTGACTTGAGAGGCGTTGATCTTGAAAGTGTAGTTATTATATTAAGCTCGTTCGCACTTTATGAAGGAAAGAAAGCAGTAACTGCAATTTGTACTTCATTAATTAGTTACAAAGAAATTAGGGCAAATAGTTAGTATTATATATTCAAAAACAAATGCCTTGCATTCATTGTGCAGTTTTGAACCAAAGAAGTAGATCAATTCAAGGAAGGGGTGAATTCAAAAGCATGTTGCAGCAGTCCTCAACTCCCCATTTGCATTTCAGAATGGAGAATGGTGTATTCGTTTTAGCCGGAGAATCTCCCCTCTACCATCCTCCGTCACATTTCAAACCCACCTTCTCCAGGTTATGATCCTACAAGTTTCGGTTTAACCACTCATTTCCGATCTATTTATCGGTTAATCCAAATCATACTGCAACACAATCCTCTCAACTTAACTTTTTCCACTCACAATACCAGGGTGGGCGATAGATGGGAGTACTTCAATGGAAATATGAACAAGCTGGGCAACTTTGCTAACATTTTCTCGCAATCTCTTTGCACAAGACCAGGCTTCGATGGCAGACGTTTCTCCACATGGGCAACCGAGGGAAAGAAGAAAATTGTGTCGCGATTGGTTCCGGGCAACCACGATTCCATGGACAAATACGATGGCTGGAGAGAAGAGTTTGAGGCCCCGTTTTTGCTCCAGGTAACAACTCTCGCTGGACTTCGACTGTAGGATGCTTATAGGCGACTTTACAAAAAAATGCCTGTCAATCACCCTTTCTCCTAATATTACCGATTTAGACAATTTTTGGTGATCCGCGTCTTCGCGAGGTTTTGTCCGGGCTGACGCCACATAAAAGAAGGCGTGGATCATCATCCGTGCCTTAGTTGAACCTCTAACACATACTAAAGGCACAGATCATGAAGTACACCTTTCATATGTTCATATCATCCCTAAAAGTATTTAAAAAAATACTTTAAAAATTAAAAAAATAAAACTATAGGGACTAACATCGTAATTTAATATATATTAGTTTATGAGTTTAAGGTTTAGGTTATGTTTCTTGACAATGTGAGATAAAAGGTAAAAGGTGTATTTCTTAACAATTTAATACACAGTAGTAACATGATCTAATACTAAGTAATTAATAAATTATTTTTTCACTTTTATTTTTTGGGTTGATATAAGGTAACTTAAAAATTAAATAAATAATAATTTATCAACTTATTATATTTATATGTATATAATTGAAATAAAAATATAATGAAAACGATCGGAGACAACTCATGGAAACATAAACTAAACACGTTGTCAAAAAATATACATTTTAACTTTTATTCCACATTGTCAAAAAACATAACCTAAACACTTTAATATTCTTATATAAGCTAACACCATTAAACTCTTCAACTCATTGAACTAATATGTATTAAATATGATATTAGTCCTTATAGTTTTACTTTTTTAATTTTTTAAAACAGATTTTTTAAAATGCATTTAGAAATGATGTGGACCTATATGAAAGGCACATTTCATGATCTACGTCTTCCTTATATGTCAGAGGTTCAGCTAAGACGCAGATGACGATATGCGTCTTCCCTTACGTGACGTCATCTCAGACCTTCTTATGGTCTTGTAGATGCTAGTTTATTTCAATGGCAGGATAACACTCTTTCCTTATTACGGGTAGTATTTGAGTAGTATCTATTCTGATTTTTTTTAACGATTGAGTTGACAACGCACACAAACACTCACAATATAACTATTTGAAATCAAGACCTTTAAAAATAATAACACTTTTTAACACCGATGCTACTTGATGAATATGCGGGATAACATTTTTGAACCTTTAAATTAAAATTTATTTAAGTAGCAGTTTCATATACATATAATAGGATTTAATTTATTATTTTCTTAAAAATTAAAGTATAAGTACATAATATAAAAAAATTAGGCTTAGTGAAATTTTTTAAAAATTTCAAGAAGAGACTTAATTAAGAATATTTAAAATACAATAAAAATTTTAAGTTTTTTTCTGAAAGGTCAATTAAAATTTTAAGAGATACAAGTTTTAACCTACCAAGTTTTGACAGACCAGGGCCTCTGAAACTCTCTTTACGATTTGACCCATGTACATGCATAGCGTATAGATGTACACATGGTCAGCGAAGTTAGGTGACATGGTTCAATTCATTAATAGAGATTGAACCATATGTACGGTGGGAAGGGCCTGACAAGAGCTGATATAAATGATATGGGATTGATAATGAATTGTTTGAATATGATTTTGTTAAATTTTAAATAATACTTAAATTGAATAATATTAACTCAAATTTAAATTTTATTTGAATTTTTAATAAGTCTAAATAAATTATTTAATATTCGAATTGAAATGTTTGTTAGTAACTCAATAAATAATATATTAATTTTTTTTTAAATCAAATGCTTTTTAAATGTAATATAAGATTTTATGTACTTAAGATTCAAGTTCTAGTTTAATATCGAGTTCGAGCTTGAATAAGTTATGTCTGAGAATGTTTCGAATTCAATTTTTTTCAAGCTGAGTCAAACTTCAAACTTTTTTTTATTTTGAGTTTGAGTTGAGTTTGACTATTTTAAGCTTGTGAATTTTTGAGTCAAACTCAATTTTAAACTTTTTTGAGTCGAGTCAAACTTAGCAATACTCGAGCTCGACTCTAATCATGACCCCTCCCAAAAATATGTTTTGAGTGTAATTGCTATTTAGATCCTTTTTAATTTAGAAATGGAAAAATATTGATCTCTCATTTTCTCTGATGCAATTGTTATTTTTAACAATGTGATATTTAAATATTTAAAGAAAAATAATAAAATATTTATTTTTAAGAATGTGATATTATAAAAATTATTTTTAAAAAATATGGCATGACCTAATTCAGTAAGGACATGTAAATTTATTCATCGTAAGCTTATCAAATATAAAACCTTTTATCAAATGCATGGTAAATGTTGCTTTTGAAATAATTCCTTTGTTTTCATTGTTTGAAATGTAGTTGAAGCAAGATAAAAAGCATAAATACAGCGAGTGGTTGCCGGATCTTCAGTTAAGACTGAGCCAAAGAACTGCAATTGAAGAGGAGGAGGAGGAGGACAATAACAACGAGCCATTGCAAAGCCCCCAAGGAAATTAGCACACACCTTTCACTTTCATAACCTCAATATTTACCCACCACAAGAAAAAAGGATAAAAAGAAAATTACCCACACCAAGGCCGAACGGGGGTGAGCACTTAATTAAGGATCTGACCATGTAAAAAGTAAATGCACACCAAGTGAGGTTTTTTTAAGTACTTCCCCTAGAGCCAATTAATAAACAATAGTGTTTGTTTGTCATTTTGATTCATTTTCTCTGTTAAGCTTAAACCAGTTTTGAATGAGATAGAGCTGTCAACCTTTGCAAGGTTTGTGATTTCACAAATATACATGTTCTTCACTCATTCATGCATTGACTTTGGTGTCTTTTTTTACCAATTGAAAGCCATGTTGACGCATATGCATTCATGCATGACTGGACTAAAGTTTAGGGTAAACATGTGATATTATGCCTTTCGTCAACTACACACCTACACCCTTTCATGCGGCAAATCGCGAAGTGCTATATTGACGGGGCCATGGAAAGAAAATCGGGTCACCTTTGTTTATTTCTAGCGATCCAATCCAAATTTTTTCTTGTTGCTCCACCTTACGAGGGACTCTCATCTCAACCATTTGGCATGCTTCTGTATTGAAGTTTACAAGACCTGGGAAAGTTTCTGAGCCACCTCACTCAAGATAAAGAGGCTCTGCAACACACCTACAGACGGTTCCCACTTTCTCCGCCGACACATGATCAAATACCCAATGATTATCCACCAGAAAACTCCGATTAGTTGACCCGGAACCACTTCATAGGTGATCAACACCTCCTTAACAAAGTCATGCACCGAGAGATGGAACCCAACCTCCAATGCAAAGAAAGGTAGTTAGAACCTCCCTCGACCCCCATCTTCTCGCTCATCATAGTTAATCCGACAGCGAGTTCCCATTGGGATTGTGAACTCGAACTCATAGTTCATCCACAACAAACCATAACACAAGATTAACTTCCTCCCCTCATTCTGGTCGGGTTTACACTTGATAGAGCCACCAACCACCATAAGCAACTGATTTGCTACTTTCTTTTGTAGATTTCTTACTCCCGCCGCAACTCCCTTCTTCGTTGTATCAAGAAGAGTAGAGAAGAAATTTCAAAGAAAAAAAAATCTTAAAAGTGTTTTTTTAGAAACTTTTCTAGAATTGGAAAATGAAAGGAAATTTGTGATTATCCCCCAACTTTCCCCTTAAATAGCAGAAGGAAGCAACTTTTCACAACGATCACAATCCATGTCTCCATTCTACGCCAATGATAGAGCGAGACGCGTACAAGCTTCCAACCGGTCAAAGTCAATCATAACTTCGGTGTTTGAGAAACGAGTTATTTAATGCACTAAATTCTTTCTTCTGCAAGTCTTTATTCAAGCTACTTTATAATATCCCCTCACGTCGAAGAACAAGTGTTAAATCTCCTTTAAATCTCCTCCTCCTATGGAACCTCAAAATCTCCCGAGTTCTATAAATTCTATATATAATTTTGTATCTTCCGACAATCTACATACTATTGACATGATCATTGACCAGCTCACACAATCAACTAAATATACTATCTAATTTGTTAATCTATTTAGCCTACAAACATAAAAATAACCATCATCACCTAAACCTTATACTTGCACTAAGAGCATGTATATAAGTCCTCATACAAGGTTGAAAAAAAATCTATTTCGACCTTTTTATTGTTTATCATCGACAATCGAATGTGATTTTCCGTCAAAGCCAAAAAAGATGAATCGTCAAAGACCGTCACACACCCATTTCTTTCATTAGTAATACATAACATTGATTTAAATATCAATGCGACTCTTTCAGTATTAAATGTTTGTGAAAAACATACTTTGATTTCTTTTGACGTCTACATTTTTATGATTATGTAGTGTTCATGTTTATTTTTAAACTTTTTTTCATGAAAATTATAAATATATTTTTAGGGAGTTGGGTAGTGTTTAGAAACCCTAAACGGCCCTCAAATTTTCCTTATAGACAAACCCTAGGCGACCCTTTAATTTCCCTATAAACAAACTTTTCGTGTTCACCCTTGAATTTTCCCTAGATTTCACTACATTTATCGGTCTCTCACTATTGCTACATCGAACAAAAAGATCGATCCTTTTTATTCTAATAACCGATCCTATACACAAATAGATCAAACCTTTGCCTAGAAAACCTCAAAATTCATATAGGACATGTATATTCGAGCCAGCAAACCAACTCTTAATTGTCTATGAAGTTAATGAGCATGCATGATCAATATGCTTGCAACGTCAAATCGAGTGAAAACACAATGTAATCATGATTTACAACAACCAATTCACACTTGACCATGCTTAATTAATCAAAGGTTCAATTATGTCTATAATGTCTACTATTGAAGTCTATTTAGGCAATATAAGTCAAATAAGGTCAATTTCATACATGATTGTATCTTTCCAAAGTCATATTATCAACATATAACTAGTTTTAGTATATTTGATCCAATTTTATAGAATTTTTCATATACATGCATACTAACAAAAGTTAGATAAAACTATCATCCAATAACGCATACTTGAAATCAAACATGCACCCTCACAGTAAAACACCATCCAAAAACCTTATTAAAATCCTTATTAAGAATCCAAAGTATAAAAACAAACCAAAATAAAAGTATAGTTCCCAATATGTGCACACATTGCCACTAATCTGATTTCAAACCAAGGCTTATTATGTATTTCAACAATTACCTTGCCAAGGATCAATCAAGGACTCATCACAAGTTTCTAAATGCTTATTTCTTTGAAAAGTATAATTAAAAATGGAGCGTAAATAAGTTGAGTGAATCCCTAAAGTTATAAAAAATATTTACAAAGAAAAGGCCAAGTAGAAGCATCCCAAATGCAACCTACAAATTGTTTTTCCTTTTACATGTTTCATACTGACAATGACATAGTGAAAAAGTAATGTGCACTTGTCGAAAACTTAGGAATAAATCATAGATGAACATACTTATGGCATGTGTCATGCTTTCCAAGTGACATAATGTATATGCTTTAATACACGAATATCAAGTTCAATTAGTGTTCATCATTAATGATTTATTGTCATTTTTTGTTCAACTTTGAAACATAATAAATTTGACATACATACCAAATAAATGAATCTCCTTATTAATAATGTTTTACACTCCTGAGAGTCAAGCTCGGTCCCTTGAATAATCAATGGTGCACAAGCAACAACAGTTATACCAAAGAGCGATGCACAAGCAACAACACTTTCTTCTTATTAGATTCACCAATCTTGATATCAAAGTTTAAAAATAATGAATATACTCAATCCTAATGCCCTAAATACCTAAGGTCTCAAAAAAAAATCCAATAGATTCTTCTAATGCAAATTTTAAATTGATGTACATCATTTTCATGTTCATACTTCAAATTTCCTAACGTTAGAAATGGTGAATGAATGATTTTACAAGCTTTAAAATATTATTTGGACCAATTTGAAAGTTTATAAAGGTTAGGAGACCACACATAATATAAAAAAATATGGGTTTAAAGTGGAAAATGTTTAGGAGTTGATCTGCAATGTTTCAATGGATTATTGGCATGTTTAAATATGTTATTAGAAGTTTGAATTTGAAGTTACATGGCAAGAGATCATTTTGAATATTATGGAAATGTTGAGACAAATTCTAAAAAAAATTATTTTAATGGTTGAGTTGTGAAATTGGAAATGTTATTCAAACTATTGGTTGAATTGAATATTGAAAGACTTGAAGTTGTATTTTGAAGTGTAAAGGTTGGCATTGATCGTGTGAAATAGAATTAGTATCGAATAAGTATTGAAAGAATTTTTAAAAATTTTATGCTAATATGCGCCTATGTTAGTAAGATACTAACATGTACTTTGAAATGTATATGTTTCGTAAATGATGGTCGATCTTGATTGAAATTGAGAACAAAGCAAGCTAAAAGCTAAGGGAAAAAATGCAAAAGTGAGAGTTATATCGTTAAATAAAGTTTGAAAACTAAGTATATAGGTGAATGCATTCTTACTAATATTATATATATATCATATGAGGAAGACTTGCGATAAGCCAACCACGAATGATTTGGAAAGAAAAATATTTAAATTGTATTATGATATTTTGATATAATTATCGATTATAATATATATTTTTATATATTTTCATACTGTTTTGCTAATTGATATTTGAATAATTTCGAGTATGAACTGTCCAATGCACTGTTGTATGATATTTGATATATGAGTAAATATGGATACTTCTATTAATTGAATGATATATGATTTTGATAAAAGTGTCCATTGTATGTACATTGAGATTGTCTAGTATAATTGGTATGCCTTAGAGGTGGAGTATAACAGCTGCATTATGTACTAGCACGACTGATTTTGGGGCTTTTGTACGCACTTGCATTTAATACATAGTTATTCGATTTTGAGCTATTGTACTTCTAAGAATATGGAATGCGTGATGCGTTTGATTTTGATATTATGATATTCCTGATTTGTGGTACAATGATGTTGTGTTCTATTGTTGGACTTGCAAAACTTAGTCTAATATTTCTATCCGCAGGTTTGTAGATTGTGATCATTTAGAGGAGCACTGTCAATAAAGGAATTCGAACATCATTTTTTAAAGTATTACTTCTGATTAACAGCAGTGGTCATATATATATTCATAAGACTTGTTAGTAGTTTAGTCTATAAACTCTATTGCTATTTTGAATTATATTTTATCATATTCGGAGTTTTGGTTTTTGTATAAATACTTTTAAAATTTTTATGTTTTGTTTTTATTTAGGTTTAAATACATCATTTCTCCCAAAATTTATCATTTGTACTGAGTTGCTCTTAAAGTATTTTTGGACATTTTGTACTCAGAAGTTTAAATCGTTATCTCTTTTATCTCAAATCGTTAACTCTATTAAAAACAATGAGGGTAAATTACATATTTAGTCACTCAAATATTTAAGTGGTTTTATTTTGATCACCAACTAGTTATTTTTTAAAAAATCATCGCTAAACTTAAAATTTTGTTTTGTTTTGGTCACCTAATTTAATTCATTTTTTTTAAAATTTGTAATAGGTAAGAATTCATTTATATAAGGGTAAATTAATATATAAGAA